GAGTCGGCGGCCCGGCCATTCCCAGAATGAGATGGAGATCTCGCTTGCGGTAGGCAAATTCGTTTATAGCTGAGCACAACAGGCAGTGGCAATTAGCGTCGAATAAGAGCTATGCCAAGAAAAGAAGAAGCATATCAGAAAGAGGAGGTCACAATTCAAATGGTATCAGGAGCCGGGCCGGAGCCGCACCGTATCAAACTTTGTTGAGCACCCGGGGTAGAGCACCCCCACCACCGGGTTGTGTACACGAATTTCCGATAAAAAAAAATTAGCGCAGTGAAGCCCTTATTTTATTGCCTTGCAAGTTTTCAATGATTTTGAGACGTAAAGATCGCACAAAGCGACAATTATACCCGAGAATTTCTACAGGTACAAAATATCTATTAAGTCAGTTCCCGGATGACTGCACAGGAAATAGGGGTCACTTCAATAGAAAGAATGCAGGGCTCAAAAGAATGAGAAAAGACAATAGAAAGAGAATATCGGATTTAACGCTGCGAGACAAACAATTAGAAACCAAAGATAATCGATCTCATCGTAATCGAACTACAAAGGAAGAGAGGGTCGATTATTGTGCTGGCTTGTAATTTTTCCAAGTAGTGGCCATGAAAGCGTCGTACGGATTCGTCTTGTTGAGTCTTCTGTTTGCCTTTTCCTGGGGAAAACACATCCAGAGAACTCGACTGGGAATCCCGAAGCAAGCTGTTCGCGAAGAATCGACAGATGTTCAACCCGCTGAACAGACAGTCTTTCAGGTAAAACAATCCCAACTATAATAGTTAGTTGGAAGACGATAACCCTCAATTTACAGCTGCTTTCAAAGTTGACGTTTAACCACATAAACGGAATTGATACTCTCTCGGGAAGACTCCCATGTAAAAAAGTGATGGGTCGGACGTGTCGTTTAGTGGTGTAAATTGCTGATTTTCCGACGAGCATCCCCGTCACTTTTACATGAGAGTTCCCCCCCGGGAGATACTCCCCACGTAAACATAAGATTAGGGATGGCTATAGCAGTAGCAGTCTAGTCCCCTCATTTACAACCCCCTTTCCCCTTTCCCCGCGGTGAAATTTAACCCGCAGAGTTAACCCTCCCTCAACAACTTTCGTTTTTGTTTATACCAAGTCAGAGCTGAGCAATTTTATACTGTCAATTTTTTGCGTGTCCACCATCATCTCTGCACTTCTGAACAATTTTACTTAAGCCCATTAAATCCCAGTCAAACTTGACCCCTTCTTTTATAAGCCAACCGAAACCTCCTCACTAAGTATAAGCTTATGACGTACAATTGTAGTCTGCAAACGCCGAGTCTCTTCGGCGGATTCTACGCTACGTTCTCGTACATCGTGACGCCTAAGTTTGTGTTTTCAGGAACGTATCCTGAACCATTTTAGTTATTTTTACGTGGCATGAAAACTGTGAGCTTGTCAAATAACCTACAGATGGTGTCTTTTACAAGTGTCTTAGATTAGGGGTAACCTGATCGAAAGAATTCGAAACGCGATCCTGTGATTGCTGGCTCTGGAATGAAGGCAAGGGTACGTGACATGTCACGTTGTAGTTTTGCGTTATTTTTCACCTGTGTTACGTTATATGCTATCAATGATGAGTCAGAAGTTTAAAGGGCCTATATCGCGAGGATATTACTGTTTTAGGTCAATTTTGTGCTAACGTCATTACACAGTGCCTTTTACTCATGCATAAAATGGACCTGTGGAGTTATAAAGAATATATCAATGCGGCAAATTTTATCAGCAGGGAGCACTGTCTATAATATTTTTTTTGGTGATTTTTGGGGGCATTTTTGGTGATGTGGAAACAATTGTTGGTTAGCTATTGAGTTGTAGTGTGGATAATGTTCATCACTGTCTTTTAAATCATTTTTATTACGTCACTTGGTTATTGCACTCGTCCACAACACGATGAAATCCCCATTTTTGCCGGCATAGCCCCAAATTTGAAAACGTTGGCCCAATTTTTTAAAGTTTCAATCCATGCCTATCCTTGCTATCTGTTGCAAGAGACGACAAGAAACAGTTTCAATGTCCAAATATAGACTTAGTAACAAAACTGGATCATTGTTTTTGAAATTCAATTAATGCTAAGACACGTTTTCGCTTTATTTAAAAAAATAGCAAATGACTTGACATATATAGCTCCTTCAATCCCCTCTTAGGTTGACTCGGAGAGGAATATCAGTTCACAAGAAGTTATCTCGAAAAGTAAGTCCTATTAAATATTTATAGCGTAAATTCTGGTAATCACGTGACCGTACGTCCGCCTGCGCGCCCGTCCGTCTGCACCACAGAAAACCCATGTGAAATATCAAACTTTCTAGCCAGTGTAGGAGCCTGTGACCTGTGTTCAACTTGATGATAGACATCCATATTATGGTCAATTGACAGCTATCAAAACAGAGTATATGCTGACCAGAATCACATGGCCATACTACGGGCTCAGGTGCCAACTTATAGAGAAACTGGATCTTCGCTTTTACCTCTGGTTAAGTCTATATATTAATTTCCTAAAGACGTTATGGTTTTATTCGATAAACGCAACAACTGGACTCGAATTTAAATGCAGAGCGAGAGAGAGCTTTGTTCGAAAGGCGACTTCAGTAGGCTATTCCTTTTTTAGCGTTGTTGTTGTTTTTTTCTCATTTTTTCGCCAGCCCCCTTTCCCTGCCCTTCGCACCTTTGGGTTACCTGAGCTATCCTGGCCTTCAGACCTTCTAGTCGGGTTTAGAAGCTCGGAGAAACGTGTCAGAGAAGCTGTAAACTGTCTACAACTGTCTCGTGTTACTTCTCTCTCAGGTGCATCTTGTGTTGACAAATCTCCTTCTTGCGGTTACTGGGCGCTCGTTGGTGAATACACGAAGAATCCAGGTTACATGCTGACATCCTGCTGTGTGTGGTGCAATCACATGAAAAGTATGTACTCGGAAAATGAAATGCACCTTCTTAATTATTATAAAACTGCTAGATTCTGTGTGGTATCATATACAGCGGGTTCTTTGCTGCTGTTCGGTGTCACGCAACGGCAGGAGCGTTGCGTTGCATCCCTCGAGTGAGGTATTTTCACGGGTTGTCCACGAGGGCCTGAGCCTTCGGGGCACAAGGGTAACAATTTTATAGACGTGGTCGTTTGTTTGCTTGTTTGTTTTTCTGTGGACGACTTTGTTTCCGAAAAAATCGAAACTCTCGGGAAAACAACCATTTTTCTTGGACCAAACGTTATTAAAAAACTGGAAGCCTATGGCTAATATTGTATCATTACCTACCGCCTGTAGCTTTGAAAAACATTGCAAGTACCTCTTGCACAGACGAAGATGCTAATTGTGGTGTTTGGGCAAATAAGGGCGAGTGCTGCAAAAACCCTGCCTATATGCTGGAACATTGCTGTGCCGTCTGCAAAGATAAAGGTAATCGAGTGATATTTATCTTTGGCTCCAGCTGTTTTCTCATGTTTTTACTTTAGTGGAATTTTTTTATAACGTTAGGGAGTACCTTGACAGATTGTTCTGCGCATGGAACTCGTAGGAGGGCGTGGGGGCCGAGGTTTGAGTCCCTTTTTAACCCTCTAGCTGCACTTTTTCACGGTAGTAACCAGCCTCAATCCTCGGCCAGCACAGTTGGGGTTGATAATCAGTTTAAACTTAATTTAAGTACTTGTGAAGAAATATTTGAGGGGAATTTGTGCGCACTAAGTTGGCAGCTATTTTAAATATTAACTATAAGTCAATTTGAATTTTCCAAGTTTCTTTCAGAATGTTCGACTCTCGCACAAACTCTTTAATGTTAAATTGCATGGTTTAGCTTTGTCTTTTCATGTCCATTTTCAAATTTCTTACTGACTTTCGTCTAAAAAACTGTTTGTCTGTTTTTCCAGGCTACACTGTCCTCCCGTGATAGACTACCCAAGAACACCGGGACTGGCAATCAGAATTCAAATAATGAAATATCAACGTAGTTTGTCTGAAATTTAAGTAAAGGCTGAAATGAGCAATAAAAGTATACTAAGCGCAATCAAGTGAAATAAAAATAGCGTTGTTTGTTCCTACGATAATATATTTTGTTTAATATACTTTTTCGCCTGTTTCTCACACGTCAAATATAGATGAGGAGGTGTCGCCCATCCAAAGTAATCCAAGACAGTCTTGGATTAAGAATCTACAATGAAGATTCCGAATTCCAGATTCTACTACAATAGGCCACTACAATAGGCCACTTCCGATATAAAATTCGAAAAAAATTTGCATGATTGCGAGTCTCAGAGGACACAAACAAAGCAAATAAATAAAGATGAATAAGCTTGTCTATTCATTTTCTCTTTGTGTCTTCTAAGACTCGTTATTATCCTGAATTTTAATTTATCGAAATTGAAATATTTTCCAAGGTCGTGGTCCAGAAATGAAAAACTGGTTTTAACATGATTAAACCGGTTTTTTTTCTATTTAAATTGCGCTGGAACCGCCCAATGCTATACTACTCACGAGTAATCTTTCCAAAAAGTGGTCATCATGAAGGCTTCGTACGAGTTCGTCATGTTGAATCTGTTGGTCGCATTTTCCTTGGGAAGCCGAGTTAATACATTGCCCGGAAGCCCAAAGCAATCTATCCATCAGGTAAAGCTGACCATCAAAACCATGCCAAACTATAGTTGTCGGTTGGTAGAGATTAACTTTTTTAATTCAGTACTTTTCCTTTCGAAGCTGACGTCCAACCACGTAAGGTCCAACACAGCACGAAAATGGGAATTTAAGTGAGCGAAATGGTAGCGTAACTTTGGAGTATAATTCTCATTTACGTGACTACAAATGCGCTTTAACTGAGTAAAGATTTGAGCCAGAGTAATCATGGAAGCCAAAAGATTCTTTAAAAGTCTCATGTATACAACTTTACAATTCTTTTACGCGTTAAGCAGACATGTAACGGAGTAGTATTATAGTTTAGAGAAGTAGGGCTCCTTTACGTACAGCCTATGCTTATCTACCAAGACAGTTTTTCTAATGTTCTATCTCTGCTTTCACATTTCAAATTTCCTTTAAAGGTCCCTAGTATGTTAGCTCCAAAACTGAAACTTCTAATTGCATTCGTTATAGTGCCGCCCCGAAATTAAGCTATTTTACAGGGTTTTATTCACGAAATATTCAATGTACAATCTCACACGAGGGTGCATGAACTACAGGGAAACCATTTGTTCCACAAGGCCACTTTGACACCTTCCCAGGGCCACATTGTTACTGCAGCCATAGAGGGCCAACTTGATCCTGGCTGAGAGGAGATGAGGTTACTGGTAAATGACAAACATCAAACTGAAAGGAAAAACTAAGGGGAACTCGCGGATACCTTGGTTAGAAAATAGAGGAGTCTGGCAATAACAGAAAATATCATTGTAAGATCAAATAATAAGTACACAAGAAAAATTCTGGATGCCGAAAAGTGAGCTTTCTCTAGTTAAAGACATGCGTTTTTGACATAACCTTTCACACTGAAGCTGTGTTTGAAAAATTCGCGCGCTGCTTTTACATTGTGGAAACACAATAAAAAAAAGTCATCAAAATTGCATAACTTCAAAACACCTGGTATTTTTCGATTTCATCTTATGGTAATTCCGTTTTAACATTTGAGTGCTAAATCTTACGTCCAGTGGATTCTCGGCATTGTAATTGTCTCTAAACCATATCTGTAAAAGTTAAAACTTTGCCATTGTTTTTCGAGCGGCGGGTACTCTCAGCTTCAGGGCCAAGCAAATACGAATAGCGCATTCAGGTAATTTCTCGTCGCTGAATCTACGCCCAAAGCTAACTTCGACTGCAACGAACTACGCAAACACAAAAACATTTGACCTTAACGTATATACGCGAACGTATTGTAAAGAAAAAGGTTTAAGCTCTGCGAAAGGCTCGTGTAAGTGCGCTTAAATTTGAGATGTGAGCCAGTTGATTGTAGATCATTGTACAACGTGAAAATGCCTTGAGTTCAACGGAGTAAGTTCGGTATCTGAATCAACTGTCGAACCGTTATATCATTTACATGAAAAGTTCATGAAAGTTCGACGTTCGACCTGGGCCTAACAAAGATCAATAGCATTCGAATGCAGAAAATAGTTGTTTACAGGTGTTTGACAAGTCTAAGAACAAACGAAATCGTAATTAAGCTGTTTTCAGCTGGCAATGTAAATTCCTTTATAAGAATCCAAGTCGCTTGTTCAAAAGAGGCTAAATTTTACTTAGTGTCGAAAAAAATTACGGTTAATTCGAAAGGTGTTGGGACGCTTGACCCGAAGCTAAGATTTTTAAAATTAGTTTTAATAGAGGAAAATTGATTATCAGATTCAGGATTCGCTGTGCAGGGGGATGTGGAAGTGCAAACCGGTATTGCTGAGCCTTAAACAATCGAGATTCGTTAGGAAAATTGGCTATTGTTCTTTTTCACAGCTGAAAACACCTACTCTGGAAACTTTGAATTTCATTTGTAGCAATGAACTAGTTTTGTATAGGTACAAGAGACGATCTTTACTAAATGTTGCTCTAGTAAATAGCAAAACTTAATTGCAAAAGACTCGCTAAGAACTCAATCGTGTCCTTACTGAGAACTACTGTTTGGTGCGAATAAATATTTTTGCTTCAGTACAACTAGAAATGAATACAACAGAGCAAAATTGCTGACTGTTCATTTTATTACACATGTAAAAGGGAACAATTTTTGAAGTTTTACAAATAAGCAAAAATATACCCCGACATAGCAAAGGTGATGCGTCAGCTCAAAGAACCACGAAAAATGCAACTTGTAACACTAAAAATTGTAGATCTTGAGTTCTACGCAATTCTCGCAAATTTTGTAAGCAAGAGAAAGAAGAGCAAAAAATCACCAACCGTGCAAAAATTAAAATACCTTACAATGAAAGCGAAAAATCGCCAGCCTTGCATTTTTTGCGATTTTCTGAAAGGACAGAAAAAGGGCAAATTTTGCGGCTGCGAAAACAAAAAATCGCTCATTTGCAGCTGCGCACGTGAGTGTCACCTCAAAACTTAAAACTGAAAATCTCAAATTTTGCAGCTGCGCGCGTGAGTGTAACCTCAATGATACGAAAACAATGCCTCAAAAGAATGCAGTATCTTGAGGTAAAGAACCAGAAACCAGAGATTTGTGGTCGTATAGAGTGCCTGACCGATTATTGTACTGACGAGTAACTTTTCCAAAAAATTGGTCATGAACATGAAAGCGTCGTGCGAGTTCGTCTTGTTGAGTGTGCTGTTCGCATTCTCCTGGGGAAAAGACATCCACAAAACTCGACTACAGCTGGGAATCCCGAAGCAATCTGTTCGCATAGAATCTATAGATGTACCACCCGCTGAACCGCCTGCTTTACAGGTAAAGATGGTTATCGAACCCGGGGACTTCTCCGTACAATGGCCTATACAGGGAGGCTCCGCCCGGAAGGGGTACTTTTTTCCGCTTTCTGGTATACTAAAGGGTAGAGGTTTCACTAGTTGAGGTATTTGAAAGGTTAGCGAAATATGTCTTTTCAGTTTTTTTATAGTCCCAAAAGGGCTAACAGGTAGGGAACATCTGAAATGTCGCGTCATACTTTCGCGTATTTTGTATACATACACATTGCATGCCATCAAATGATGAAAACAGTGATGAATCAATGACATCTCAGGATATGTTCAACGGATAGCGCTTTGTGTCGACACGATATGCTATCCTGTCAGGATGTGAACAACTATCTGACAAGTGACTCTCCACTTTAGAGACAGGCGCGGAGCAGCTTCACTCCCGGTTACTACAGAAATCGCGCCGATGTAGCCGTTCTTATGTGAGAACAAAAGCCCTATCCGGCATGGTCTTCGTGCCGGCGCAAAAGGTTTCCGATATAGTGTGAACAGAACTCCAATCTCATTTTTAATCCCCTCTTAGGTTAACTCGAAGAAGAATTTCGATTCACAGAGGTTTATCTCAGAAGGTATGTTTTATTAAATATTTCCTTATAAATTTAGAGTCCTGTAAGAGAATGCAGGTTAATATGTACATTCCGGGGGGGGAATCCCTTATTTGTTCTAAGCGAGTATGTGCTCAGTGATGAACAGAGTGTCAGATCAGGGTATAGAACTTCACTATGTAGCATCTTGAACATATTATATACTGTCTGTTTGGACCAGACGCCTTGACAAGAGGGTCAATTTTTACGTTTTTAACAGAAAAAATCTTATTCCATGATGTATGCGAGATGAAATCAATAAGGGCAGGAGCTAATAACCCGGAGCGTGTATTGCCAACTGCTATACTTAGCCTATGCAACGGCGCTTACACAGATCAAGTTATTTTAGCATCATTTTGGAGCACTTTTATCGCAAAAATGCAAGCACAGAGCCGTCTCCCGATCAGGGTCTTAAAATAAGGTATCTTGTCTAAAACAGAGTAGCGAAATTAACGATTGTTGCCATCAAAAGGATCAGGGTTTGATGATCAGTCTACATAAAACTTTCCCTTTTAAGCGCAACCTTTACTAACCCCCCCGCCTCCCCTTGTAAGGTCGTTCTTATAGGATAAGTGAATATCTACCTTAGTAACAATTAGCAAACAATTCTTGCAAACACCACTTGGACAAACAGCAGCGAGGGAAAGCCGGATCTGGTTGAAGATCAGAATCAGCAATATAAAATAAGGCTTAAAATTGATGGCAAGGCTGATGGGACAGCTAAGGGTTGGTAACTTACAGATTTATTTGCCCAGTATTTCGACTAGACAAAGCTAGTCCTCATCAGAGGCTTGAAAAACTAAGTGAGTATAGAATAAAAGGTTACAGTATTTAAATTTTGTCCTCTGATCCCGTGAGGAATTTTTAAAATTAGAATTGATTTACTATTGCTTTCATGTTATCATGATACTAATAGCTAACAGCGTAGTTCCACCGCACCACCAGATATATAAAGCACGCTCAGCCCTCACAATCGCTTGATTGACCAATCAAAAAGTCTTTATTGACAAAATCACAGCCCAAGCCAGCTCAGCCTTGTTCGCAGCCAGTTTCCCTGAGAAATAGAAAAGAGAGGTACTGGGAACGAGCTTGTTTTCTTTTTACTTGATAAACGCGAAAACTGAACTCAAATTTCAATGCATACTGTGTGGGAAAAGCCAAATAAATAGGCTAACCTTTCTTTACACTTCCGCTAGCCCCTTCCCACGCCCTTAGCGCTTTGGGTTGCGTTATCCGATTCTCGCGTTGTTCCAGTTCAGACCTTCCAGATCATGTTCAAAAGCCAGTTATGCTGTAAAGTGACTACAAATGTCTCGTGTTGTTTCTCTCTCAGATGCAAGTTGTGTTGACAAATCGCCTTCCTGTGGCTACTGGGCGCTCAGAGGCGAATGCAAAAAGAACCCAGGTTACATGGAAGGAAACTGCTGTGTTTGGTGCAACCACATAATAAGTATGTAATCGGAAAATGGAACGTGTCTTCTTATAAACGTTGAATCTTTCCAGTTGTAACGACTAGGTTCTGTGTAATCTTATACACAGCAGGTTATTTGTAACGAAACGCAACGTTCCTTCCCACAAGCGGCCATGAGCTGATTGAAAACTTGCTTTTGTTACTCGATATTCTTTTTGGTGAGATTCTGAAATTTAATAATAATAAAAATATTATAATTTGGAAGTTGTGAGTCAAGACGACCCAGGATTTAACAAGAGATCAAAATGAACAGATTCCTTTTCGGCTGTTTGTTTCTTCTTATGGATAGATGTGAGGCAAAAGAAAAATGGAACATTCAGTGCCTTCTACTACCACCTTCTCCTTCCCCACACCTTTTCTTTGTGTAACTACTTATTGCGGTAACCTAATAATAACAAAAAAAATTAGTCTACCGCAGACAAATCTTCATCCGGGACTCTAGTGGTTTTCTTCTTTAGTGTAAAAAATTGACTGAAATGCATCCCTCGAACGTGGGATTTTTAGCAACAGCTGTCTACGAGGGTTACTATGTGTTAAACGGTTGTTGTTTGTTTCATTGTTTTTTTGTGTAGATAACTTGGTATCGGGAAAACAACCATTTCTCTCGGGCCAATGTATTGATTATTATTACATTCAATATTACCTTTCGGGATTGTCGCTTGCACATTTTCCCGACGACCTTTCTCGAAACAGCTGTATACTTTTACTAACATGGATCATTGTCACCATAGCTTTGCAGAACATTAAAGCAAACTCTTGTAGCAACGATAACTCTCAATGTGTCAATTGGGCAAATAGAGACGAGTGCTGCAAAAACCCCGCCTATATGCTGGAAAATTGCTGTTCGGCCTGCCAGGCTAAAGGTAAGCAAGTGATCTTTATCATTGGCTCAAGCTTTTGTAAACCCTATTTAGACGGGGGCGGGGGTTGGTTGAAGAGCGCCAAACTTGAGGACTCTTTCTAAAATTTATCTGGGAACATTTCAAAGTCGTCGTGACGTGTATGTCAACAGTGACGTTACCATGGCAACCGAGTTTTGACAGCCATGTTTTTCAAAATTTGCATTTTTTGTACAAAAAGGTTATATTTCTATTTTTACTTATTGAGTTATTGCATTACACTCAATTTAGCATTATTTTATCAAAGAGAGTGTTCAGCGGCGCGTGGAAGTCGCACAAAGGTACAGGCCATCTAGGACTGAGTCCCGTATTGCCCACTTGTTGGATTTTTCACGGTAGCACCCAGTCTCAATCCGCGGCCAGGCCAAGTTGGGGTTGATAATCTGATGAAATTTTTTAAGAAATTTGGCTACCACAGGAGCTCAGCGCGGTGACGAGTCGTTTTAGTAGATTAAACCATAAGTATATTTGAATTTTCCAAAGTTCTTAACGCTTTACTTTCTTTTTTATCCAAGCACGCACAAAACTTTGTTGATAGATTGTATGATTTAGTTTTGTTAGTTCCGGTAATTTTTAAAATTTCGTTTTACGTTTTAATTCTAAAACAATATCTGTTTATTTTTCAGGCTACACGGCCCCACCCCCGTGATAGACCACAAAGGGACACTAGGACTGTCAAGGAGTATTCAAATGTCAACGTAGTTTGTCTAAAACTTAAGCATAAGCTGAAATGAACGATTAAAGTGAAATTAAGCGCTATCAGGTCGTGTCTGTGGTCTGTTGTTGGTCCTTTCTCTTGCTCCGAGAGGTTTTTCTTCCTGGTAGTCCTGTTTACCCCCCTTTCCTCATACTCCACTTCCTTTCTCCACAATGCACCTTATTTGCCCCCCAAAAAATTCGCATAAGCAGTGTTTTCAATTTCTCTTTGGGCGGCTGTAACAGCCAGGAGAAATGAAAAACAAAGGTTATGCGAAATTTTGGGGGGCAAATAAGGTGCATTATGGCAAATGTGGAAATGGAGTATAAACAAACACCTTTCCTTCCGGATTTCACAAGCAAAAATCTCCTGGATTCTAGAATCCGGGAGATTCTTATATTCCGGACTACTTTAAATGGGGTATGTGTGAGATATATAGCGTGTCGTTTGTTTCAAAATTAACTCTTTCAGTTGTCATTGAATTTTATCCTTTATTAATTTTAAATCCTGGATTTGGTTGCTAAATACAAAATGTAATCTTTCATCTTTCGGTAATGTCAGCAATAGTTTTATCGTGTTCACTCGCAGTGACAACACCGCTGCCTTAGGAAAAAAATAATTTGGTCTTTCATTTGTACTTTAATTCAACGATTTTTAAAGATTTAGTTGTTTCTCAGATATGCTTCTTCGACCACATTTATGTATGACTTCATAGGTAGTCCACAGACCTATGCCGCTTCTTCCTTTAATCTTCCACCTTCTCCAGCAATTAGAAAGCGCGAGATTGTTTTGGGCACGTGACTCGCTGTCTGGAGGCGGGGAGAGGGCGGGGCTCAGAAACAATGGACGCTAGCGACTACAGTAGAGTTATGTGGGAAACAAGATGGAGAGTGGAAATGTGTACCTACTTGTTGTGCGTTTTGTTTTCGTTTGAAGGTCTCCCCTTGAATGGAAATTTCCAAGATAATAATGTAAACGTTTATACTTTGTATTGCCATCGGTTTGAACATGACGCTCGCCTCCTTTCATGCCGACAGCGTAAACGCTGCCACGTGGAACAGTGCGGGGCTG